CCTTCTATGACTCAATTTCTAGCTTGGCATCGTGAACGCAAAGTGTGTGTGTGTGTGTGTGTGTGTTGTGATGTTATCTGGACTAGAACAGATAGTATTAAAAAGGTTTTCTGTCCTACAGATTTCTTTCCAGTTCTCTGGTTAGGTTGAATATGCTTTTCTTGGGTCATCCTGTCTGTATATATTAGTAGCTCCAAGTTACAGCTGTCTCCAATGCTCATCAGGATAGAAGGGAAATAAAATGAAAACCCAAGTCCATGCAGCTGTTCTTTATTACTTAGAACTAATAATGACTGGGGCTGGGAAGGTGGCTCAGTGGTAGAGTGCTTGCTTCGCATACATGAGGCCCTGGGTTTGATTCCTCAGTACCACATAAGCAGAAAAAACTGGAAGTGGCACTGTGGCTCAAGTGGTAGAGCGCTAGCCTTGAGCAGAAGAGCTGAGGGACAGCACCCAGGCGCAGAGTTCAGGCTCCACAACTGAAAAAGAAAAAAAAAGAACTAATAATGACTATAAAATACTTTCAAAAAGTAGATTTATTTCATAATTAATTTAAGTACAGAATAAGGTCATTTTACACGAAACAGTCACCCTGCACCTAAGTGTATTCATCCATCTATCTGAGTAGGATTTCTTGAGTAGCTACTGAATATTCTGTTTGATGAAGGGAGGAAGAATCCAAGACTCGGCTCATGACCCTGGGCCTCTGGAAGGTAGTCACTGGTGGGCCAATGCATAAGATAAAAGCACAGCTGCCTTTGAGCTGGGTTACTACCAGCATCAGGACAACGGCACACACAATAAGCAGAGCTAAGTTGTATAGGGAAGAGAGGCCATTTTAATACTAGACAGTAAAATGAAATAACAGCCTTTATTTTTATAGGCTTTTGCTGAGTCTGTTTAAAAAAAAAAGATTTCACTTTTAGTGAACAAAGTGGGAGTTCCACATAAAGAACCTGACCCAAGTCAGAGCAAAGATGGCAAAAAGAAGACTTAGGGCTGACAGGGAAAGCAGTTGGCTCAAGTAGAAGGTGCTTCCTGTGGGAGACAAAATAACCCTCCACGCTTTCTTAAAAATTCTGTGTATGTGGTACAGAGGAATCCAACCCAGGGCTTCATGCATGTTAGGCAAGCACTCTACCACTGAGCCACCTTCCCAGCCCCTCCTCTCAACGCTTGTGTTACCTCCTCCCCCTCCCCCATTATCTACAAAGGAGTGTACAATGCCTCAGTCTATTTATCAGGGATTGTCATGGTTAGAGTTGGACTTTGCTTGTAAATCCAAAGCTTGCTTCTTCCTTTCCATGCTGAAGTAGTAACATATTGTTACTACTGAAGGAACAAATTTGAGCTATTTCTTCTGGGAATGATCTCTGTTCCAGGAAGCACACCGTTCAGCAGGGGATGCTGGCCAAAAAGCTGAGGAAAGGCACCTGCAGGTCTGGTGCAGGGGCTTGGCCATCAGGCGCCAAGCCTTGTGAGCCGTGTAAGCCCGCATGGGTCCAGGCATGCTGCGTCTTCTACTGAGCAGTGGCAGAGCTGCTAGCCAGGGCTGGACCAGCTCTGAGGTCTCTGAGCCTTCACTGTGCTTCACAGGACAGCTCGTGTCTCACCCTTGCTGGCTGTTTGTCCCTCTGACTTCCTCCTTCTCAAGAGAGTTGTGAGAACAGAACAACCAGTGTAAAAATAAAAGTGTGGGAGCGAGGGGTTGCCACAAGTTACACTTTTTAATATAAACATATTGGCATAAAGAATGATTTCTGGGCACATTCCATTTGTCCTTTGTTTCCTCCCTTGTTTGATTTTATTATTATTGATGTCATTAAAAGTGCATTCATCAGGCCTGGCTGTCAGAGAGTTGCACTTATTTTGTGCCCACAAGCAGTTTTGAGGTATATCTCTTGCTTTAGGGCATTAATTGATCAATACAGACATCTATAGTGAAGAATTGTCTCCCCCCATGACTCTATTATTCTAAAGTATTCTTGTCTTCCTATAAAGAAGTCATTGAGTGGAGTAGAGACAAGAAGTGTAGGGACTGTCCAAATTGTCACTGACGACTTCAGATGCTCTGTGTGGCAGCTCTGCGCCCTGGCTGAGGTATCGTCCACTTCCTTCTGAGGGCTGAGCAGCTTGTCTTCAGCTGTGTGCTGAGGAGGCGCTGGCCTAGCCCCTCTCTCACCACCTGGAGACGTTCTTCTCCTTCTGCATCTGACCCTCTTATGCTTGTAGACCCTTGGTTTTTTTTCTTCTTCTGTGGGGAGAGGCGTCTGGTGTTTTCCTGGGTAGGAAATTTTGTTTAGGCTTTCTTTGTTGAAAATGTCCTTGTTCTTCCCTCCAACTTGATTGATAGTTTGATCAAATTATAGATTTTTGTTTTTTGTCTGTGGTGGGGCCTGAACTCTGGGCCTGGGCACTGTCCCTCAGCTCTTCAGCTCAAGGCTAGCGCTGAGCTACAGCACCTGAGCCACAGCACCCCTTCCAGCTTTTTTCTTTTTGCTTATGTGGTGCTGAGGAATCGAACCCAGGGCCTCATGCATGCAAGGCAAGCGCTCTACCACTGAGCCAACTTCTCAGCCTAGATTTCTTTATTGTAAATTATTTTTCCTCGGAATTTTAAAGGCATGGCTTCATTTTCTTTTTGTGTATCATGTTATTGTTTAGAGGTTCTGTTTGTTTGAACTTGTTTTGTAAGTTTTTTTTTTTAATATAGGATGTTGTCCTGTAGCCAAGGTTTCCTGGAACCCTCATCCTCTTGCTTCGGTCTCCTTAGTGCTGGAATTATAGGCATACTGGGGCAGGCCAGGCTTGTATGCAGAATAATTGGTATTTACCATAAGGTGTTTCCTTTATGATGGAGAGCCCCATAGTAACCAGATGTTCTCTGTAGTAGAAAGCTGTATCTCAATGGTGAGAAGACAGAAGGTGGAAGGTGGAAGACATATGGACACTGTGTGATGTAATGTGGAAACACATTACCTAAGAAACTTACTTGCCAAAAATGTGTAACCTGACTCTAATTAAGCTTTCAGAACTAATTTCCATCTTAGAGGATAGTTGATAGAGGGACATGAGTAAAACATCATGAAGTCATCCAGATATTCTACAACTGGCCTCTTAGCTATGGCTCATGCTTATAATCCTAGCTACTCAGGCGACTGAGATCAGCAGATCAGAGTTCAAAGCCAGATCAGAGACAAAAGTCCATGAGATTCCATTCCTATTAAACAGCCAAAAGGTAGGCTGGAGATGTGGCTCAAGTGGTAGAACAGCCAAAAGGTAGGCTGGATATGTGGCTTAAGTGGTAGAGCATGGGCCATGAGCAAGCATGATGAGCAATAGTGAGGTCCTGAGTTCAAACAACAGTACTGGTGCACACACACACACACACACCCACACACCCACACCCACCCTCCCCCCCCCACAGATGTGGGCACGCGCGCAAAAGAGATTAGTTTAGATCTAAGATAAATTTAAGAGACATGACTATATGCAATATATATTCCTGGGATTTGGACTTGGACGAAACAATTTTAAATGTTGGAATGATTGGGAAAATCCCACTAGGAGACAAGCATTCGACATTTGATGAATCAGTATCAGTTTCTTGGATACAGTATCAGATATTATGTAACTATGTAAAAACTGTGTATCAGATGTTCCCTTTTCTGTGAAATACATACTAAAGAATTTAGGGGTGGGGTTTCATTATATAGTCTACATTGAAAGAACTTAGGAAGGAGTAATCCCAGGTATGCAATAGATGTAGATAAGATCATGGTTTGAGAACAACACAGAGAAAAATGTTGAGTTTATCTCAAAAAACCAAGCCAGGCTTGGTGTCAGTGGCACATATCTATAATCTAATCTATTCGAGAGTCTGAGATCTGAGGATGAAGCTTAGAAGTCCATGAGACTCTTATCTTTAATTAAACACCAAAAAGCTGGGAGTGGAGCAGTGGCTCAATTGTTATGGCACAAGCCTTGAGCAAAAAATCTCAGGGTCAGTGCCCAGGCCCTGAATTCAATCCTTGTCCCAGCATACACACACACACACACACACACACACACACACACACACACACATGCTTACACAACTAGGAATAGACAGAAAGATAAAGTTGGGCATCAATGGCTCATGCTTGTAATCATAGCTACTCAGAAGGTTGAAAGCCAGAGGATCATGGTTTCAATACCAGCTGTGGACAGAAGAGCCTACTAGATTCCATCTCTGGTAGACTGGAGGTATGGGCCAAGTGGTAGAGTTCCAGTTGTGCAAGCATGAGGCCCTGAGTTGAAACACCAATCATGTCACACACAAAAAAGATATATTAAACAAATGGGGTGAAATGTTAACTGTGTCTGAGCCAATGTGGTTAGGTCTATGGGAAGCCATGTTTTATTCTGTTTGTTTGACATTTTCATATTAAGATGTTTATGAAAATAGGTTTCAGCTGTGAAATTGCATGACCAGGGCCAACAGAAGCTCAGATGAGTGTCTCAAAGGCTCATACTGGCACTGGGTACCCAGGAAGGCATGTATCAGTGCTTAGCTTTCTAGAGCAGTAGGGTGAGGTAGCCATTCATTCCAGAGAGGATAAGAGTTTCAGAAAAGTTCATGTGCCTTACAGAATGCCTAAGTGATGGTCAGATATAATTTAATTACTGGCAAGATGAGAGTCAGTAATACATGTTACAGTTGCAACAAGCATGCACATGTTTAGTTGTTCTTGGTTGGATTCCTCCACCACCTGCTCTCAACTAAAATCATGTCCTATATGTGAGAAGTGTTGAAGGGCCTTTCCTTCCTCTCTCTTTCCTTCACTTCCTTCCTCTCACTTTCTCTTTGCTACTTACATCAATTCTTTCTTTAAACATCATGGAGTAATTATCTTGTCCACTCAAATGCAGACTTGCTTCTAAATTGTTCTTAAAATGCAGTTGTTTAAGCTCTGTATTTGTTGCTCTCTCTCCACTTCCGGGTTCTTTTGTGGTTTCAGGGAGCTGGACTGTGCCATGTTACGGCGCCTAGAGAAGAGGATTCTGGTTGATCTCCCTAACCAGGGAGCCAGGAAGGCCATGATCCACCACTGGCTTCCCCCTGTGAGCAATAGCCAGGCCTTAGAGCTGCGGACAGAGCTGAAGTATGATGTCCTGAGCAAGGTGGGCTGACCTGGAGGGAGTCATGTGTGGGCCACTGTCCAACACCTGTCTGTCTAACACGGTCATGAAGGAGCTCCTTCCCCAACACTAGAAGATATCCCAAGATGGCCCCACCATGCAGTGGTAGAATGAACTCCTGGTTACTAGAAAGCCTTCCAACAGGAACAACATGAGCTGGCTTAGATTCAGAGAACCTGTGGGCCTGACTGTTTGTTAGCTGTGAGAGCTCATGGATAACACTCACTGAGCTTCATGTTCTCTAATTGTAAAATGAAATAAGCCAACAGAAAAGCTTGAGGTTCATGTTTGTTTACCTTCATTATTACCTGTATGTAGTTCCAGGGTAGCGGACATGTTACCATGTTATCTGCTTAGGGTGAACACATGAAGCTGAGGTTCCCCAGGGCCTCAAAAGAGCAGGAATGATTTTTATTTACAAACCAAATTGTCAGGCCCCAAGGGCTCATGCTGGTAATGCTAGCTAGTCTGGAGGCTGAGATCCATGATTCATGGTTCAAAGCCAAGCAAGCTTCAAGTTCCTGACTCTTATCTCTCCAATTAGCAACCAAAAAGCCCGAAGTAGAGCTCTGCTCAAGTGGTAGATGGCCAAGCCTTGAAGGAAAAGCTATAGGATAGCACCTAGGCCCTGTGTTAAGCCCTAGTATGCACAAAACCAAAACCAAGTATATGCCATTTTTTTTTTTTCTGATTTGGGTGCAAGGACTCTACCAAGTCTAACTTGAGTGATCCAGTCTCCATTGGCATCTTCCATGTTTGGAAGGCATGTGGACCACTGTCCATCTATCTTGGGCAATCATGCTTTTTAGCAGCACCTGTCCCTCTAGCATTTCTTAGCTGGGAACCTTTGTACACTGGGAGTGACGGTTACAGAACCTAAGCCAGGGGTCTGATACTGAGTGCTGCCTATAAAGGCCACGATCATTCCATCTGCTGACCAACGGCCGGGCTTGTGGCTCTTTCAGGAGACAGAGGGCTACTCCGGTTCTGACATTAAGTTGGTCTGCAGGGAAGCAGCCATGAGGCCTGTGCGGAAGATCTTCAACGCACTTGAAAATTACGAGTCAGGTACGTTTGGTGTTTGTGTTTTAAATCCAAGTCTCACCAGCAGATGGAGCCAGATGCCCGGTTTTGGCAGCCTTTACACTTGCAAGGAGCTCTCTGGTCACATCTGGTGCACTCAGCCCCTATCCAACCATGTTGTTTTGGATCCACATTGTCCACAGTTGAACTCTTCAGGACTCTGGCTTTTATTTTCCCAGTTGGGCTGGATCCAGTTGAGGCACTATATTAAGTAATACTTGAATGATGATACATTTAAGTCACTTTGTGTGGGGGCAGTTTGGGCTTCAGGGGCTAACTCTGTTACACATTAATTTCTTCTATAGACTTCTTTTGTCTTGCCTTTGTGCTGCATTAACCATTGAGAATGCTGCATTATACATTGTCTTGAAACAAACTCAATTAGCCTTTCAAGATCAATGATCACCAGGAGGTTGATTTGTGCTGTCTGTTGTTTTTACCCAGAAAACAGAAATTTTCCTGGGATCCAGTTGGATACAGTGACCACAGAGGACTTTTTGGATGTGCTGGCTCACACCAAGCCCTCAGCAAAGAATCTAACTGAGAGATACTCAGCCTGGCAAAAAGAGTTTGAGTCCGTTTGAAAACACACTTATCCTGACCTGACCAGTGGTATTTGCTTAAGTTGGAGAAGAACATTGTGATTGGAATGGAAAAGATTGTTTTTCATCCCTGGATTAATTTTGACAACTGTTATTTGGTAAACAGACATTTTTATTAATGTTTCACCATGGATATCAGCAACATAGAGAAGATTTCAGCTCCATGTATATGTGCTCATGAGGCCAAGCAACAGACTTGTCTCACAATTAAGACTCCATAAAATTTTGACAATTTCCTGTAGTATTTCTTGTTTGTGAGCTTTCTGCAATTTGAAGTAAAAGACTTTCTAAGTCTCTACTGTTTTTTCTCCTTGCAACATATTCTCAAATCTGTTATAGTCATCATCATTCTTTAAATGGCCAATCATATCAGATAAACATTCTCCTTTTGAGGGGTTTCAGTTGCTATTAATATCCTTTTTTATGTTGAAGTATGAGCCTTTGGATTTGTTCAGGGCTTTTATGTTGATAAAGCTTGAAGTACCAACCTTATACTTGTGATCATGGGAGCTCTGTGGAAGAGGGGACCAGAGAGCTACTGCAGATAAGCAGGTTGTACTTACTCTCTGGTTTCAGCTCTGCATCTTACCCTGGCCCACTACCATTCCCATTGTCTCTAAGGCCTTAAGCCTCCATGATGTCATTTCTCCCGAGAATAGAAGTCCTCTGTTTTCCTGACTTGCCTAAGGGGTGGCCATCTGGCTGCTGGCTGGGGAGGATTTCTGGGAATCGATCTACAACTAGTCTTTTAGCCAACTTTTAATCAATTCCTTTTCAACCTCACTCACACCTTATTCCTCACAACCTGGGGCCTCTGGGTCTTTCAGGTTCTACAAGATAAACTGTTGGTGAATTATCTTTGTGCCAACTTCACTTATCGACGCTCTACATCCTTTTCAGTTGGATATTATATGACAGGGTCTTATTATGTAGCCCAGACTAGTCTGTGATTCAGGATCTTCCTGTCTCAGCCTCCTGAGTGGTGGGACTGTAGGTGTGCACTACCATGCCCAGCCGCCACCTACTCAATCCATCTTCAAAATTACCATTCTTGTCACTTCTGCTTCCACTAACATTTTTTGTTGGTTATTCATGTGAATTTATAACTTCTTTATTCAGCTTTTATTTTAATGAGGTGTTGAAGAGATCAAATAACACATACTAGGATTATCTACTATAATCTCTATTGATATTTTTAGCTTTTTGAAATTTATATGGTTTAACTTAACCCAACATGTGGTATTTTCTTCTAAAGGTCACAACCCAAACATCTTTACGAATAAGGATCCTGATCCCAAGGAGTAACTGGGTGTAGGACCAGGCAGAGGTGGGAAGGAGTTGAGGGGCTAGAGACTCAGCTGTGACTCAGCCCCAGGTATATGTGGAAACTTGGACCTTGATTTTTCTAGAAAACTCAGTAGTTCATTTGTAGTCAAGCTTCCTGTTTCTGGTTCTCAAGGGTTAATTACCTGTCTGTGCAAATCAGATGTTTTGCTCCCAGATGCTATTTAGATCACCAAGAAGCCATATCTGCTGGACCCTACTTACTTCAAGTATGTCCAATCTCATTTCTATTGTTCATTGCTTACTGGTCTCTCCCATTGCATTTGATGGTTGTATGCATGAGTATAATATTGCCTGTTCACATTCCTCCAGTGTAAGCGCCATGACTGAGGTACTTCTATTTTCACTGTTATTCAGTGAATGAACATTTTCAAAAATATTCCCAAGCTGAAGGCTTCATCTGTGGTGACTATTGTCGCCAAGTACTTAGTATAGTGCACATGGTCTTATCCCTAAGAGGATGTATACACTGCCTTGAACGTTTCTGTCATTTGTATGTTCAGAAAGATTTTTATTTGCTTCTGTTTCCCAGCTAGGAGGTTATGTGTCACAGGAGTCAGAGCTACATCTTCACTGTCTTCCTTGTTTTAGCCACAGTAAGCATTTGATAAATTCGGTTTTCTCAGGCCTATCAACCAATGAAGCAGTTTAGATCTATATGACATAAAGGACTAGAAAAAGGTATTCAAAAGTGCTTGAGATGTGCAGTTTATGCTATGATAAATGATTTCTAGTGCTCTGGTTCCTCATTATTGCCCCTTAAAGATCACAACGTACTCTCAGATACTACGACTTGATGGCTGGGATCATAAAAAAAATCAGCAAGGGTCTTGTGCATTTATGCTAGAAAAGGCCTTTGTGACTCAGGCCAAATAATTGTGTTAATGCAAATGGCCCTACTAATATGAAAAGGGATTACTACCAGAGGCAGTGTTTTAGTGAAAGAGATTAATGCAGTTTTAATAGTTATTTATCATAGGTACAGAAGGACTTTAGTTTCTTCCTACAATGATCCAAGACCAAACGAACACAAAAAAATGGAGATATGTTTTTAACTTCCCTGTCCAATAAGTTTTCAAATGTGGATTTAAAGGTGAAGCAGCAACACAATCATTCCAAGGAGATTTCTGACATCATGTTACAGGACAGAAGAGTGTGGTGGAACCATCATTTAAAGTGGAGTACTCCCCCACTCCCTTTTCTTGTCTTGCAGCTGGAAGGCTACTGGCAGGTAGGGCTACAGCCAGAATGTAGCTAACACTGAAGGTGCAAATGAAGTCAGTGGGGGCACCATCATGGCTCTGCTGGATCAGCTCCTCCATACTGTGCAGGCTCCAGCTCACAGCAGTGCTCCGTAGTCATCTGCTCGCCATGGCAGCTTCTCACAACCTTTCTAATGCCAAGGTGTGTCAGTCCCCTTTCTGGTCCAGACAGGATCATAGTAAAACTGAGGTAAAGACTGTCCTTTAGGTCAGTACCTTAGGATAACCCTTTAATTATGGACTAGCTGAAGAAGGAAGTCCTTTAGATATTTGCTAATTTCTTCCATGAGATCCAAAGTAGACTGACTAGCTAAGACTGGTATTTACTGAAATGTTTATAGCAACTTATATCTAAAACAAGATTTTTTAAAAAGGTTGATTTGAATTGGGGTTTGACCTTGGGACCTCAAGCCACACACTTCCAGCCCTTTATGCTTTAGAGTACCAGATGCATTATTTCACACTTTAATGGCGTCCTCTTTAGATATCTTTAAGGCAACACTGAATCAATTTTTTTCCTTCCTACCCACCCTTATACCTTCCAGCATTAAATTCCTATAATATTTACATTAGGTTTTTGGGCTCAATCACCATCTGAGGGCTTGTATTGCAGCCTATATGTATATAATGACTCAGTCCTATTAGTGGGGGAAAATGCATAAAGGCCACCTGCCTAGGAGGGAGGCAGTACTTTCCCACAGGTAGAGAAGACATCAGAGGGGACATGGGAGTTGAACCTTCTGATGTGAGATAAGGTCTGAGTACTCTTTCGCTCTTTAGCTGGAAAGTCCCTGAGCTTCAGCTCAGGTTTTTAAACCTCTTCTTACATGCTTGTTTCCCACACACTTATGGCTGACATGGCAATTAGCAGGAAGCAACTATTGAACATACAATTCCTGGGCAAGGAATCACTGAACTAGGCACCCAAATTGCAGACCAAAGCTAAATGTGGCCTACTCATCAAGCATCAGGCAGTGCTTCTTCCCTTTCCCCTACATGCAGCTTCATCCTGACAAAGTCTTAAGGCAGTACAGGATCTTCCAATCTTTAGGAAGGTGTTCTCCAACAACAGTCTGTTCTAGAATTTCTAGTCTAAGGACTTCTATATGTTTTGTGTATCTAAGGCTCCCGTGTGATCAGAGTCCAGGAGACCTGCTCTTGTCCCCAGTCAGAGGGTGCCATGCCACTAGGAGTTCTGTTCTCAGCCACTCTCCTACGCCCTTCCTACCTGCGGGTAGAGGTCATGCTACATCTGTCTTTTGCACTGTGCGACAGGCAAGTACTATGCTGGGGCATTTTCAAAATCAAGACTGCCACATACTTAGCTTTTCTCACCAAACCACCACTTACTTAGCTATGTTCCCTCCCTATCCAAGACCCAGCTGATCTCTAAACAAGCATCAAAACCCTAAGCTCATTAACATGTGTGTGCTTCAATAAGGTGAACTCTACAATGATGTACAATTACACTCTAATAATTCAATGCCCAAGAGCCCTGTAAAACAATTGCCGAGGCGCAGGATTATCACAGTATGCAAATGCACTAGGAAAATCATTACCTACTCAGTCCCCTTCATTTGGGCGGGGGCAACGTCAGAATAATCCATGCTGCAAGACGAGATTTCATTTTACAGCTGTAGTAACCAAGTACATAAAAGCCTGAATCTGTCCCAATAGTTTCTAAGAGATTTTTCCCATAGTGTCAGAGGCAAAAATAATGAAATCTTGCAAATGTACAGTTAATAGGACCCTGGGGGACTCTAACTTCAAAAATGCATGGTCTATAAGACATTAAAGGCTTGATTTTAGTTTCTGCACTGTTCCTGTTAATAACAATGTCTAATTAAAACATCTGTAAAATACTGATAGTTTTAATTTTACATAAAATTTCCAAAACAACTGTTACGCAGTATAATAGGTATCCGCAATGAATAGGTTATTAATGGAAATATTATTTTAAATTAAAATCGGTTTCTAAATTTAAATTAGTCATCTCTGGCTAATGAAGAGAAAGGAAGTCACCCGTGCTGGGAATACAACTGAAAGCCTCATTTTCAACATCTGTTAAAGCCACTTCACTAGATCACTTGTGCTGAAGGACACTTCATTTTGTTGCCTGTGTCTGGTGCTCCATTTGCACTTCTCAGTTTCACAGTTGAACTCAGTATTAAAACAAGAGCCTAACACATCTCTCAATATAGCATTTTATGACCTAAAAAGCACATTCAACCTTATTCAGACCAATAACCCCCCTCAGTTTCCATGGGGTGACAGCGGGAGCTTCTCCCTCCCTGCCTTTGGAACCTGATGAATATTTGAAAAGGAATGGCACAAATTCTCAGCTTGCCCTTTCTTTGCGTCTCTTCTTATTTTACAATCTATAACAAAAGGGATTAGCAAGGCTTAGTGCGGTATGCAACTCAATACCTTTCTTTCAAATCAATGTATAAAATATAAGAGGGTTAAAACTAGATCAGCACTGGGCGGTCTATGTCTATGGATGCTGACGCTGAAATAAGGAATCCTTTCTAGACAAGAAGCTGGGTTTCCAGGTGCTTCACATTCACTTGATGGTTCAGAGTAAATGTTGCAGAATGTGGTCCACAGCCTGAGGGAAGCTCTCACAAGTCAGGTAGGGAGGTGGATTAATTTTTTCTTCATCTGCTGTTCGGTATTTCCCTGAAAGGAAGGTAAAGCCAGTGAACAAAGACTATAGCTAGAAAGTCAAGTTGATCACAGCTAGAAGCACCTGACTGCCACAGGACCACCCTTACAACTGCAGCAAACTAGCAGGTTTGCTTGTGAACCTAAGGCTTCAGGACACAAGGAACCAATGCAAGGGATGTCCCATCAGCATTTCTCCACGTTCCCTGGTCTTTCACAATGGACAGTTATAGGAACCAGGTCAAGTTAAGTTTCCTTCAAATCACAGCTGATAAAATAAACCCCCTCTCCCTTATACACAAGAATGGTGATTAAATCAATGGAATAAATGGAAGCCTTGATTTACGGAGGGGTGGTGTGGGGGGGACAAACAGAGACCTCCATAGCTCCTGTGCTGCTGCCCAATGCAACCTTGGGAGCTGTGATCTCTGTTGGGGGAGGGAAGGGGAGAGTGATGGATGCCAGCTCCAGGCTGGAGGCCAGACAGGACAGGCGCATACCAGGTGCCAAGTGTCAGGCACACTGCCTCACTCAACTGACTTTGGGACTCTAGGAAACCTGTTGTTACTGAGCCTGGCACTCAGTTGGACACCCCAGTCCAGAGGACTCCTAGCACTCTATAATCCCGTCTTTACAAGATTCCTAGTAATTTCTAACTATAGATGTGCTTTGTGTCTGTCTCACATCTCTGCAAGCAGGGCTGCCTGCTCTCTCACATGTTCTAATGTACTCCCAGCACCTGGCAGTATGACCAGCACATAACAAGTACTCCCTGAACTTTTATTTATTTTCTGGGTGGGGTCCGGTCATGGGGCCTGAACTCTGGGCCTGGGCGCTGTTCCTCAGCAATTCAGCTCAAGGCTAGCACTCTACCACTTGAGCCACAGCGCCACTTCCGGCTTTTTTTTGTTTTTTGCTTATGTGGTACTGAGGAATTGAACCCAGGGCCTAAGGCATGCAAGGCAAGCGCTCTACCACTGAGCCACCTTCCCAGCCCCCTCCCTGAACTTTAAAATTTTAAATTTTATCTTTAGAGAATGAATGGAAGGAAAAGAGGCAAAGGAGAGGACAGGAGGAGGGAAGGGAAGAAAGAAATGCAGAGCAGTGCTCCAGCTCTGGTCCAGGAGAAGGCAACTTGTCCCATAGCCCTTGTGCTACTCTAAACTTGCCTCACCCTTTGTTTCCTCATCCCTATTTCTGTGATCTTTTACTTATTCTCCTGCTTTCTTCAGTATTCTCTGACTAAATCGAGCTCCCCCAGCAACAGATTCATTGTGTTCCACAACTCTTTAGGATGCTTTGCTCAGCAAACATAAAACCCTCCTTCCACACGTTGGCACTGTGCTAGAGGATGCTTCCTCTCTTGTCCTGCTGACTCTGAGTTCTTACAGTGAAGGAATTGGCACCGAATGCACCGAGCATACCTCACTCACCCTGACACACTCAAGACACTTGTCCAGACCATGGTCCACAGTGCAACTTCCACTAGCTTTGTTTTGTTTTTCCCTCAAGCTTAAATCTCATGAGTGTAAAACTCTTGGCAAGGTTTCAACATGATCTCATGTATACATTTAAAGACTAACTACTGCTTACACTATCTACTTCCTGGATGCAGTGGTCTGTCTAAGGGGCATGTATGTCAGTGCCTCTAAAGCAACCTGTGCTTCTGCATGAATGAATGGTAAGCAGTGGGAGGCTAGGCACTTCTGTAAGACAAAGAGCAATCCTTTTTTTTTCTTTCTAGCTGGCTTTCACATGCTAAACAAATTCTGGTTAGGATAAACCAGAAGTTTTTAACAGCAAATAACTAATCAATTATATACTGAACATCTACCATGTGCTGCCCACTGAGAAACAAACATGCTGATGATTACCCACAAAAGGTATATAGTACGGACTACGAATTAAAATATTTAGAATAAAGTTTGAACATGGACAAGTAGAACACTTGTCCACCACACTCGATTAAAATATATCTGTAAAGCTTCCATCCAAAGATAAACAATATAAATGCTTTCATGAGAGGAACTTAGCTGTCTTACTAATTACACGTGTTAGTTGTGACACTGTTATGCTGTAGGCTTCACTTAGACTTACTCAAAGTCTCTGATTTAGGCCGGTTGTAACCTCCTGCTAGTAATTAGAAAGCAGAGCCAATGGAGACCAGCAGGGGAGATAAACCATTCCTGACACTGCACAAGTCCAGTTTGGATGGTGCGTACACATATTTAGTTGTGTGAGCTAAAGAAAGGAAATGTCCATAGGCACAATACTCAAAAGCAAAAATAATTATTTGGGGTTCTTCTCAATGATTAGAAGATAAAGTTGCAAAGGACAGGAAATCGAAAACAAAGAACAGGGGAGGCTGGTGAGCAAGGCTCATTTTCTTGACTTCTATCCTGTGTCCTCTTTCTGCTTATATCACAGGACAGTAATAATGTTCCCGGGTAGGTTGTGATCATTTTGATGGAGAAATCTGAAAAAAATTACTGTTTTCATTCTGGAGTAACTGTCTGCAAGGCTCCAATAGTTTAGGCCTTGTCAAATGTTTCTTTACTCAACTGTAGCTCTTTACATTTTCCTGTCCTTTCTTTTAAACTCAATGCAGTTTGTATACAATCACATTTGCTTGGACACATGCCACAGCTACTTTCTCTAAAAGATTCCCTGTGGTAACTCTTCTCTGACTGTTTTGATCGCACTAGAATCTCACACACTAGTCTGCACAGAGCTGGACCAACATGGAGGGCAATAAACCAGTATACTGCAGCCAGAATACTGATTCCTCTTGAAGAAGAGGTGTCTTTTCCTTTTCCCATCAAGGATGGCTATCTCTGGGCAAGCTCTAGAATACTTCTATCTCTGGTCTTTCAAGCTTTGTATAGAATAGGCATTCTCTCTTTGTCTTTCCTATAATCCTAATCTCATGCTTCATGGTGGAAAGAAAAACCAATGTGCTTCTGCCACTTTGGCAAAAGCTGTTGTTTGTGCAATTGTGAACTCTACCATTCAGTTTTTGAAAAGGCATAAAGAAGATACGTACCAGTTTTAACCAAGATGCCCAACATTCCGGCATTCTGGGCCCCACCAACGTCATCCCTGCAGTCCTGAAAAAGCACAAAAAGGTGCTTAGTCCAGGGCTTCCATTCCATTTACCAACAAACCCTACCAATGATTGGCTAGGCTGTGAGGGTCTCTTGGAAACTCTTAAAACAGAAGCGTAGGAGAGTACTTGGAGGAAGTGAACCACATTTAGACAGAAATGTCCAAAAGAGAAGGTGTATACTAGCCCAAGGAATCTCAGTAACTGAACCGAAAACAGTGATGAGTCTTCATGCTTTGCCACCTATATATTCCCTTTCTCTTACAACAGACTATGCAAAATGGACTTCTATGCATTTGGTGGCTTGTACAATTAATAATCCAGCTGAAGACAATGGAGGAGCTAAATTCAGAAGATAGCTTTTCAGTGCCATGTCATATATTATTCTTACTTTCCATCCAGTTGGACACACCAGATAAGATCAAGTCAAATCAATATACTTACACAGACCATGTTAATACTTAAACAGACAGTCTGATGCTCACTTCCCACTTGGAAATCACAAACCACTCTGCAAAGGGAGCTCTTCTGTCTACTTCTTACTCAAGATAGTGATAAGAGCTGGGCACTGGGCACTCAAGTATAATCCTCACTCACAAGTGACTCAAGAGGCTGAGACCTGTAGGATCTCAAACAAGCCCAGGCTAAAAGCTAGGCTGAAGGCATGGCTCAACTGGGAATGCTAGCCCTAAACAAGCCCAGAAATTGTGAAGTCCTCCATTCAAGTAATAATATTGGTGTGCACATACACACAAAAGATAAGGATAAGGACACTTGTTAGAGCTGGGTGTTGTGGCATGTTGCCAATATTCAGCACTCAAAAGGCTGAGGAGGATCAATTGAACCTTAGAGTTGAAGGCCAGCCTGGGCAGCATGGTGATATCCATCTCAAAAAGCAGCAACAAACTCAGGAAGCTGAGATCTGAGGATTGTGGTTAAAAGCCAGCTTGGGCAGAAAAGTCCTTGTGAGACTCTTATCTCCAATAAACTATTAAAAAGAGCTGTGGCTCAAGTGGTAGAGCACTAGCCTTGAGCATAAAGAGGCTTCAGGACAGCATCTAGGTCCTGAGTTCAAGCCCCAGGATAGGCAAAAAAGAAAGTTTTTAGTAGATGATTTATATCATGAAATACATTTATACAAGAGTATATGATGTTACTCATACATAAAACTGAAACCATTATCTTGCCCATGTAATTGTAACTCCTCTGTATAGTATTTTCATAATAATAATTAAAAAAATAAAAAGAACGTGAAAACTGAAAAAAAAAAGCAGCAGCAAAATAAATACTTAAGTCCCTAAAACAAAACCTTCCAAACTGAAACAAAGTCAAACAAAATCAACAGATACTTGATTGTTTTTGACAATGAATTCAAGTAAAAATTCAAGTCACATCCGTAAGCTGGAGTCACATCATGCCTGAAGAAATTTTTTTGCCTTTTATTGTTTAATATTGTTCAATAACAAGTTTTGAAAATGAATATCTAAATGTCAAAATCATCAATCAAGGTCTAACTTTAAACTTTTTCTGTTTGCCCTGTTGAAGAAATGCGACTGGGGATATAGAGGAAGTAGGAAAGTGGGACACAGTGAACAAAGGAGAGAGAACAGCCACGCTCTTGGATAACAAAGAGACTTGAATACAGCTGCTGCATGACCCTCTCTCCTCCCATCCTGTCCCACTCCCGAGTCTCCTGGAGTCTTCTGTCCCAGAGAACCACCTCTTCACCTGCATTTGTTTAGGCAAAGGATGCCAAGAGGGAAAGGTGTGACAGGAAGCTATGATCTCAGGAAGCTATGATCTCAACAATTTTGGGTATTTAAAAAATAGATAACATTAGGAAGACTGACACATTGCCATTATCACTGTAAGTTAAGAAAATCAGGAGGGAGTCCAGAGCCCGACCTCTACTTCCAGCTGTGCTACTAGTTAATTGTGGGGCCAGGTAGGACATTTGTTTCTAGGATTCAGTGTCCTAGTCTGTACAATGAAGAGACTTGGATTAAATAATCCTGAAGGCTGTTTCCACACTGACTTGATATTTAAAAACTGGTGGCCATGGCCACCAACTTACCAGGAGGCATGTGACTCTTATTTCTCTTCCCCATCACAGCACCATTTTTAAAATGTTTGCTTGCTTCAGCAGGGCAATCTGACAAAGTGCTCACCACACAGGCCTTCCATGCATTTCAGTCTCAGCCATGAAATGCATAGCCCTACTACTCAAAGGGCTAAGCTCAACATCTTTTAGCTGTGTATGATATCCTGGTTGGGAAACTTTTTCAAATCTAATGCTAAGAATAATGTCAGACTCCTTAGGTTCAGGTTATTCTCCATATTTATAATAAAAAAATTAAGTCTGTATTTGAGTTTTCTACAAACATATACAACATTTAATTGACTTACAATATTAAGTTGTCTTTGAATTATATATGTGCCATCAAATTATGGAGAACTGTCAGGACAATCAAAACTTCAGCTCTTTAGACGAATACCATTGACTGTCTAGAGGAAAGTTTATTATTGGTAGCCACTGACTACTACCGTTATCATAAGCAACAAAAAGTGCTTCCCTGGAACAAACTCAGGACATCTCCTGGGCTTTTCTACTTACATCTCCTATCATGACGGCCTCCTCTGGTGCATAGCCAGTGTCTCGCAATGCTTCCAGAAAGAATGTCTTCTCTGGTTTGCCCACTACTATGGCTTTGGTGTCAGTGGCATATTCTAGAGCAGTCACAAAGGGCCCTGGCCCCAGGGCTAAGCCATCTTTCCTCTTGTAATACCTGGCTTTGTGAATCGCTATTAAAGGTGCCCCATCTAGAAGTAACCTAGAGACATGAAAAAAGAAGAAAGACGGGGGGGGGGGAGGCGGAGTGAAGGGACTAGTTAAAAATAGGCTTTTATAACTAAAAAAGAATGTCAGACTTACAAAGTGGTTTTATTCACATTCACAGAAACAAATAGTTTCTTATTAACTTTTAATGACTTGCTGTCTTTTAATGAATTCACTTAGAACTGTTGGGAATTACACTAAGATACATAATAGAAAGGTGATAAGATTATTAAATTTGGGATTGCTTCAACCTTTTACCTTTAGTGGTTTCAGACACTCCAAATCGCCAGGGAAAGAGAATTAAGAAAACTACAGCTAAATAAGGCACTCAAGGGAAGAAGCTTAACTTAATGAGACGAGTTGTTCCCACCTTCCCTAATGGCAAGCAGGAGGCTCCAGAGCTCTGACAATACCACATGGTTGTTGGTGTAGTGACTTATGAGTGAACTCCTGAAATACCCCTGCTTGCTCTACTCCAAAATTTAAGTTTCTTTTTACTTCAGAAATTTAACTGAGAATTTAACAGAGCTTCTGCTTATAACTTAACCTGTACAAACTTTCTGACTGCTTCTGGTTGATGCCAAATCAAGACTGCTTACAAGGACTGCCTACAAAGGAATCCCCCTACAAGACAACAAACAGGAGGTGCAGAGAGTTTTCAGTTAGATAATGAAACACTACATATAGCTGAGCATCTTAAGGCAAAAATGTAATGTATCTCCTCCTTAAATCCACCACTTACTTCAACCCTGCAGCCTCCAATCCCACCGAAGTAGTCACACACTAATTATTCTCTCATGCAATAGAAGATATGATCTGTTTCTTAAGCTGCTTTTAACCAATGTAATAAATGATCTCACTAGCTTAATTTACTCTAGTCATCTCCTTAGTTAAAATATTTAGTATGTCCATGGAGGAAGAATTCATCACATCTTCGCCTATACAATTATGAGTAATTAAGCACTCAACTAGGAAACTGCTAAATTATTCTTGTCAGTGGGCATGGAAATAACTTCCTGTGGGAGATGCAGAATTCAGACATTTATGATTAAATATTAAGTAAAACCCAATACTGGACTACTACAGGAGCTTACTGTTAGTTACTGCAAATTGCTCATAGCACAGTACAAATCCTTCAGATTTACTCACAAATATTAATACAAACTAATTACTGAAAGCAGATCTTGGAATTCAGCATCAGAAAACTTGCAAAGCTCATCTGCTGTCCTTAAAAGAACCGTCATTAATAGAAACAAGACATCAAAGGGTGATTCACCTATTCTCCTCTTCCACACTATGCCAATCCCATTTATTTGTTTCTCTACCATAGAACTAAAATTCTTTATGCAACAGACCTCAAAATTGCTTTCCATTTACATAGCTAAACTAAAAACTCATTTGATCTAGCTTTATTAATATTTTATTATATCTTAAATGGGGACGAGACTTATCAGCTTGATTGATGTGTCTACTTAATTCCTATGTTTTATTCTAGTGCCTTCCCTGGAAAGGCTGAACCTGCAGTTCCACTACATTTCTCTAAGTGGGAACTAGTTTTGCACCAGGCTGGAGCAGACGGGCATCTCACAAAAATGACTCCTACACCAACCATTCTTCTTTGCATGTCATATCTTCACTAAGTCTTGGAAGACCAGAAGAATATTTATGATGGCCTGAAAAGAAAATGTTTTCTAGGTCACAAATTTAAAGGTCTTTCACAGTTAAATAGTTTAAATATATATTTAAATATAGGTATAAATATAAGTGAATATATGTAAATACACTCACATAGATAAATATATAACATATATTTATATGTTATAACTGTAAATAAAACGGAGCTAGGCATGGTGGTGCTTGTCTGTAATCCCAGCGCTTGGGAAGCTGAGAATGGAGGATAGAGAATTTAAAGACAGCTTGAACTCTACATTATAGCTCTGTCTCACTAAGAAACTTAAAAAAAAAATAGACATTTAGGGGCTGGGAAGGTGGCTCAGTGGTAGAGTGCTTGCTTTGCATGCACAAGGCCCTGGGTTAGATTCCTCAGTACCACATAAGCAGAAAAAGCCAGAAGTAGCACCATGGTTAAAGTGGTAGAATATTAGCCTTGAGCTGAAGAGCTCAGGGACAGAGCCCAGGCCCAGAGTTCAGGCCCCATGACTGACACCAAAAAAAAAAGACATTTAAATACTTGGAATGATTTTATATCTACTCTATCGGTAACAAAGGTTTGGTTATTTCCATGATCAGAAACAATACATTAGCAGGAAATCTAAAAATATTCTTATGCCTACTGAGGTGTAAAAAGAAAGTGAAAAAGGTAAATCCTGATACCAAAATCTCTGCCTATAAACTCTAGGTAGGTAAAAACAAACAAACAAAACAAACAAAAACTCTCAGTAGAGCAGCAAGAAAAACACTAAGGCATAATTTAGATTCAGAGCCAAAAGGTTCCATTTCATTGTATACAAAAAAGTTCATCAAGATCCTATCCAACAGAATAAAAGTGAGTGTGATGACACTCATCTGTCATCTCAGCTACAGTAAGAAGCACAAATAGAAGTCGCATAGTCCAGGAGAGCTCAGGGAAAAAGTGAGACCCTATCCCAAAAGTAACCACAGCAAAAGAGGATGGAGGTGTGGATCAGATGGGAGAGTGCTTGACTGGCAAGCACAAAGCTCTGAGTTCAAATTCCAATATCACTACTAGAAAAATATTCTACAAATAAATCATTAGAATGATCAAGTAAATGTGAGAAGTTTGCTGAATAAAAGCCTAATATACAAGAAGTCAATGAAATTTCTATTGTTAGCAATAGCAGTTAAAAATAAAATTTAACAAAATACTATTTACATTAGCATCAAGCAACATGAAAAGCTAGGATTAACCAAAAATTCTGAAACACACAACCTAGAGACTACAAAACACTGATGTTTAAAAAAATCTTAAATAAATGGAGAAATTTCATTTTCATAGTCTAGAAGACACATTATAATCCAGATGCAAATTCTACCCAAAGACATAGATTTAAGAAAGTACCAACCAAATGTAGAACAGGCCTTTTACATGAATATTTAAAAATTCTGATTCCAAGCCGGATGCCGGTGGCTCACGACTGTAATCCTAGCTACTCAGGAGGCTAAGATCTGAGGATCGCAGTTCAAAGCCAGACCGGCAGGAAAGTCCATGAGACTCTTATCTCCATTAAACCACTAGAAAACTGGAAGTGGCACTGTGGCTCAAGCAGTAGTGTGCTTGCCTTGAACCGAAGAGCTCAGGAATAGCGCCCAAGCCAAGAGTTCAAGCCCTATGACCGACAAAAAAAAATTCTGATTCCAAAATTTATATGAAACTCAGTGAACAGCTAGGATAATCTTAAAGAAAAATAAAGTTGCTCTAAAACAAAGCCACAAATGTAAAGTCACTTGATTTGTGTCAAAAACACAACTCTTAATTCAGAGGAAGATTAATATATATTTGTAATAAATATTTCTGGAACAAGGAATACTAATAGAAAAAAAAAGAACTCTTAGCAGGTTAGAGTCCTCTCTGGAAAACAAAGAATTAGTAATAATTCAAGTAGGTCCTATAGCTAATTGTTAAAGGTAAACCAACCAATAAGGCTTATGGAAGAAAATATAGTATCTTCCCTTGGGAGACAAAGATGTCTTGAATGAAACAGAAGAAAATACTGATGAATTAGACTCTATCAAAACCAAGAACTTCAGGTTCTTATACATGAATAGAGTGAAAAGACAAGCCACAGGCAGGTAGAACATCTTTAGTAAAGAACCAAAGACTTGCCCACAAAACACATAAAAAAACCTGAAAATCATAGAAAATAACAACCCAAGCAGAAAAGTTAAAAGATTTTCATGAGTACATCACAAAAGTAAATGTCCAATGGTCAATAAGAATGAAAATTTTGAACTCTTATTTGTGCTAGCCAGGAACATGTGACTTAATATAGTCACTTTAGAAAACTGGATGGTAATGTTTAAAAAGCTAAACAATTACCTTTTATCTAACAATTTTTAGATATATACCCAAGAGAACTGAATGTATATATGCTCCAAAGATATGTAGAAGGATGTTTACAGTTTACTTATTCATATCAGCAAAACTGGAAATAAACACCCATTAACAGTAGAATTGTGTAAAATTTATAAAGTACTACACAATGATATAAAATACATAAAACAAAAAATGAAGTATTGCCACATATACAACTTGGATAAATCTCAAAACCATAAACTGATGTGACAATGATAGGATCTCATTCATATGAAGATCAAGAACTGGCAATACTAACAGAAGTCAGAGCAGTTGTTCTTCACTATGAATATAATGGGGGTTCCAAAATATTCACTGTGCTTGTTATACCTTAATTTAGAAAAGTTGCTAACAGATTTATTTTTGTGGCTTACTTCCCTGAAACTTATTTCAAGTAGCAAGAGTTGCCCCAATCATAAAAGAAAATCCTAAAATTACAAAATAATGGCTGCAACTTGAATATTCACCTCAGTTGTATATTCTGACTTTCAAATTTGTGCATGTTTCTTTATGTGCCTATACAAATGGAATGCTCTATATATCTCAAATTATGAAAATTACTCATGTCAAAAGTTTTTTGTATTTTTATTTTCTGGACTTTAAGAAGATTAAAATAATAGTCAGAAATGGGAAAAGCCCATAGAAACATTTGTAATTTGACCTTGTTGCTACAGTTATGAAATTCCTGGTGCCCTGAGCTCTATAAAAATATTTCAGAAGTTACTATACAAATTCATTAATAACAGAGGCCCTCATTTTCAACTCTTCTCCCTTTCTCTTCTTTCTTTACTAAAAAACTATACTGGAGTAATAAACGTGATTTTTTCTTAACAATGACAATATAAAAGTCAACAGAAACCATTGTGATAAGAATCTCTTCCCCACCACTAAAAAA